GTGAACTTTTTCCTAACAATCAATTATCAAATAAAGCTCCGAAAAAATTTTTCACAAAACAGTTTTGATTCCTGTTGAAAAATTCATAATTGCCATGAATTAGTGCGGGTTCAAATTAATTGAAAATATAAAATGAAACTTGAACTGTTGAATATTTTCTTATAATAATTTTATTATTAAAACTCTGATTTATTAATTCAATGAAAGTCTTAGCCACAAATATAAGAATATAGTGGTGATAAAGTGACAAAATAATTTCTTAAGCGCTACATGCATTTCAAGAGCTATAAAACAATTCAGTTCTAGGGCAATGAAATGTCTCCAACTTCATTTGGGAATGATATTAATTCCAGTATAATTTACAAATCATCATCTAACCCTAGTTACATAAAGAAATAATAGTTAAATCAATACTATATCTTGAACAACAAATCTCAAAAGATCTTTAGATTTATTTTTTTTTATTTCGACAATTTTGTTTCACGAAATTCTGCAAATTTTTTCTTGTGTTTACTACAACAAATGTCAAAGATCTGCACCGCAATAAATTTGCCAAACTTCTTTGTTTCAAAGTCAAACCAAAACAATGAAATTCCAATACACTTTTGACTGCAAATTTTCCGCTTGAGAGGAAGTGGAGCGGCGGCTGGGAATCGGGAATGCGGTACCAGGAATGGGACCAGGAATGCGGTGTAACAGCTGAGCAGGTGCTGTGCGAGCAGCAGCTGTTACCGTTATGCCTTGCTGTGAGGTATGACGTGTAAAATATTTTATATAACTCATTGATCAGAGTTCAAAAGAGAATTATGTATATGATTAATGAAAAACCCTGCACTTTGTAAATAAAAATAATTTACAAAACGTGTGACATCTACTAAATTTGTTTTCCGGTTTTCAGCAATGAATTTTACATTGAAAGGCTGCATGGACTTGTAAATAAATATTATTTACAAACGTTTGACATCAACAGCTACTAAATTTGTCTTCCGGATTTTCAGCAATAAATTTCAAATTGAAAGGCTGACAAACAGCTGCCTTTTACCTAGCTGACAGCTGGTTAGTTATCAATTTTATACGAATCCGGTAATTTTTAATCTACAATGAAAAAGTCGTCCTTCAACCTCTTCCAAAAAATTTTCCGTTAATCCGCCATTCAACAGAGCTATTTAAAAATTCTATTTAGATTTCATGTATTAAAATAAAAATTCGTCGTGGTGCACAATAATTTGGTTTCACAGTCAAATTATTCATATTTTGGAGTATTTTGGAAGTATACCTAAAAAAATAACTCAGTACTCACTGCAGTGAGTGACAGAGAGCGCATTTTCTCGTCGACATAAACGTGGTCACGGACGGACAGACAGACGGACAGACGGACGGACAGACAGACGGAAAGACGGACGCGGACGAACATGACGAGCACAATAGCGCCTTTTTTTCCATAAATGAGAAAATGCGCTAAAAAAAAGTCCCTCGCAACATTCTTGGCAATAAATCGAAAGTAATTCCCACAAAATACTGTTGGTACCGACACAGTTCAAGAGTGGAATTAAAGTTAATATACTTAGTGAAGGAATCCCATAGGGAACCACTGGGCCCGTGTGGCGGTTGGCCGAGATGCCATTGTGCCATTTGCCGCGTCCGCGCGGGCCTCGTGGCGCGCAGGGACACGGGAGGCATCGCCACGTGGGCGCCACGCGATGCCGCGCGGGCCGTTGCTTCCGGTGCCGGGCACGCCGATGGCCCGCGCTGGGCGCTTGCCTGTCACAATATATGCTATAGTTATAATTATATTAAAAATGAATGGATGAAAATTAATTAGAATCTATGCTATATTTACAGTGATTTTAAAAATGAATGGATGAAAATTAATTAGAATCTATGCTATATTTCCAGTGATTTCAAAAACTAGTGAATTAAAATTTATTAAAATCCATGCAATATTTACAGTGATTTTAAAAATTAATAGATGAAAATTAATTAGAATCCATGTTATATTTACAGTGATTTTAAACATGAATGGATGAAAATTAATTAGAATTTATGCTATATTTAAGGTGGTATTAAAAATTAATGGACGAAAATTATTAACTTATCGNGCTTAATCGCTGCATCAATAACAATCTATGATATTTGAATTTATTCATGGCGAGATATTTTTTGCATATATTACCAGCATCTGAATTGACAGGATTTCACACATATACTGAGACATTTTACAAATACTCAAAATATTGTCGTTTATTTCAAATTATATTTTTCTACACATGAATTTTCATGAATAATTTTTATGATAATACTTTCTGGAAAAATTCTTACTACACAGAGAGACGCTTTTATTTTTAATGTACACACACGCAAAAACTACCACCAATCATCAGGCGATTATTCTACAAATTCCGCTGGATATTATTAAATCAAATTAATTGTTTTCAAAAACGCTTCAATTAAAGAATCTTTGCCGTTCCCATTGACATTTAATTATTTATTTTCCATATCTTAAACATTTTGAATAGAAATAATATTAAATATAATTTTAGCAAGCACTTAGAACTATTCTGCCTTTCCTCGGAAAGATACTTTAATTTAAATAAATTTGGACAGAATCCACCGGTTCTTTTAGCTTGATTTTTTACGAATTATGGTGAATTATCTTGGGTTGATGCGATGTAAAATCTAGTAAGCATTCATATTCTTTTAAAAGAGTTATAAACAAATTGATAGTTTGATAAGCTTTTTACTTTGGACCCTCACTTCAGGTCTCCGCGACTCAGATGTTAAAATTTCTGCAGAAGTTAAAATTTCAGTAATACTTTATGTTATTATACAATAAGGCGTTGACTTTAAGCAGAGATATATATCAATGACTGCAATAAGTTTTCTATGAAAATTTCGTCGTTATCAACGAAACTATTTACTTTATAATCCGCCTGAAATTTTGAGTATAGGTACTCAGATTTTGATTCCAATTTTGTACGAAATTTTGAGTATAGGTACTCAGATTTTGATTACAATTTTGTCTGAAATTTTGAGTATAGGTATAACTCATATATTTATTACAGAGCACGGCAGCTGCACCCAGTAAGTTGGTTGTGCGGAGAACGCGCGTTCGGCCGGGAATGGGAATCTCCCCTCTGGGAATCTGGGAATGCTTGGGAGAAAATGAAGTAATTCTCCCACATTTGTTGGAGGGCAAATACCAGCGTGTGTTGTGGCACACCCGGACCAGACTACTATACAGCATAAAACATGTGTTGTTGTGTGAGCAATAACTCTGTTCACGCTTTCTGTATGAAGTTGTAATTAATAAAACCGGTAAGCTCAAGAAACTTGCATCTGACAATTACACTTACAACAATAAATTAAAATTCCAGGATGATGTTATTTGCTACATTTCTCTTATTCAGAAATAAAATTTTCGAACGGGAGGGGTGATATAATTTTATCCCGCCAAACATATTCAAATACGTTTTTATTTTCCTATTGAGTACCTAAACCAAAGTTGGTAATTAATAATTATCGAATACATTGTTTTCGAGATAATTTTTGGCTCTCAATTTGCATTTTATAGTTATTCTCCATTGCAGGTCAAAAGACTATCAAAAATAATAAATAAATCTGAATTAGCTCATTCATTGATACAACCACAATAAAATGATATCATATTGATTGTTAAATGACTTCACTTCTTCACAAGAACATCATCGTTGTTAGAAATAACAACAATAATTAAGTTCTAATTTAACATATTTAGTGGATGTTAATGGCTGATCGTATACTTGCATTCACATTTTACAAAAATAGCAATAATATTAATAATAATAATTTGAAATAATTAGACTATCCTGGCCCAAGCAAGTAAAACACTTAGCATTACGCGCTGCATCTCAAATGTGTTGCTATATCAACAAAAAGACAATATTGCATCAATCAAAAGCTTCGTTGTTGATACAAGTTATTAAGTCACTACTAATTTGTAAGAATATTAGCTATAAAGTAGCAAGATATGTCGTTTAAAGATATGGGCACCAACGCAACTTCCATCAGGAGTGAAGGTTTAGACTGTATTTGGCTCGTGCTTTGAACGGGCGCTATTTAAATTTCAGCTATGAATTAACAGATAATTTGGTTTCGTTCATTTTATTGGATTGAAGTAGATGCCTTCAGAGCTAATCACACAAAAGTGTGTCTGAGGTCCAGTAATTTATACCGTTCTAAACAAACAATTTTTACATGACAAAGAAATTTTTAATATATACAAATCATTTAACAGGTTGCATTAAAACGAATCGGAGAAAATTATTTCCTTAAGAGGGCATTCAATATTCATTACAATTAACAAGAAAATTAAGGATTTCCGAGGGGCCAGAGTTTTAAAAGATACTATGGTTTAATTTATTACTTCTATAAGCACGATTGACAGGTGGAATCTTTGAGAAACTCTATCCCAAACGGACAAACTGTACCCAGCAAAGTTCTCATTTCACGTAATATGATGTGTTACTTAATTACATGTGGCGAATTGACACTTGAATTCAAATCATTCAAAAAATTTGGCGAACCATTCAAGTTCCAATGGCGTTCAAATAATAACAGGAAATGAATGGCATGAGTTTCTACGGGGCGGCAGAAAGCACGCGTTGGCAGGTGGCACGCACGGGTCTCTGATGCCTGGGAAAATTGCTGCAGTTCACACGCTTCAATCGGTCCCGCTCAACGTAGCTGCCAGCTACCATTTTATTATTTAATTGTAAAACAACCGTTCCAAATGCTGATTTTGAACTATAAAACACTAGTAAATGATTGTAAGTGTTAAGTTTTATCAATGTATGTCAAAAGAAAATACAAAGTGTATAGTTTTTCGCTTTTATTCTTTATTTCTAACAGCTGATGCCGCGAAAGGGGCGGAGACTGACGCGCATCCGATGGTCGCTGGCAACTGCATCGGAAGGTATATAAGGGGAGTCGAGCTCGTGTTCCATCATTACCTGAAACGCTCGACTTTGCGTTAGACTTGCACGAGAACTGCAGATTTGTGTTGCTGCGGCAATTTCCTAGCTCTCAACTGATCTCACTGCTATATCGGTGCAATGGCTCCTTACTGTGACGTAAACGTTGAAGATGTCGAGCCGATGTCTCGTACATACCAGTATCGCAAAGTGATGAAACCATTATTGGAACGTAAACGAAGAGCTAGAATAAACAGGTGTTTGGATCAACTCAAAGACCTTATGGTTGGTGCCTTACAGAAAGATGGTGACTCCATCACCAAACTCGAAAAAGCCGATGTTCTTGAGTTGACCGTGAACCATTTGAAGAAGCTCAAACATCACAACGCATTGGCCATCCCAGCTCGCTCACATTCTCAAGAAAAATTCAACAGTGGTTTCCGCCAGTGCGCCAGTGAAGTGTCCAAGTTCATAAAATCTGCACCTGGAATCGATGTACAAGTTTCAAATAGTCTCTTGGGTCATTTAGGAGGTGTTATCAACCACTTGGATGAGCTCGCGTGCTCCATTCAGAATTCATCCGTTCAACAGTCATCCACGTATAGCACCACCAACACCTCTTCAACAACCCCAGTCACCGTGAGCATCCCGAGCAAAATGTACACCCCACCAGCCAGCCCTGATCACACCTTGCACCAACCTAGACCCAGCGCTGCTCAAACTGGAGTTTCATCCGTCAGTCGATCTGCGGAATCTTCGTTTGTACCAGTCCACCCTCAAGCCAGCTTGCACCCGAGCTTCCGACCATCCAACGACTGCAGTTACAAATTAAATTCTTATTCTCAGCGACATCGCGTGAGTCCACTCGCTCCTCCGAGCCCTCCTTTATCTGTCGGTTCTCCATCACCTGTTCATCACTTCAACAGTCGTCCTTCATCATCTTCTTCTTCCGTTGAATATCCAGCATCTTCCCCGAAATCAACTTCACTCTCCCTCGGCCTGCTCAGCTCTTGTCAACATCCAGAAATCACAGACGGACCAATTTGGCGACCCTGGTGACTCGGCGACTGCCCGGCGATTTTGTTTAAATTTGAACCACATTGTACCTGATTGTAGACTGCTTAACATTCGATTGCACTGTTATATTGTAGTCTTTTTAGGGTTTTCAACTAAGCTGACTTTATGTTGAATGCAAGCTTTTCTTGATGTGTTAATCGAATTTTTGTAATTGTCTACAATGACTGTATTGTACCAAACCTCAGGAATTTCTAAGTTTGGAATTGTTATGCTGAAAGTCTAGGGCATTTGTGCGCCGAGGTTCGTCGACTGTTGTTCCATTACTTTCTTTGGGACGCCTACGAAATTTTCGTCTGTGATATGCTGTGATAAGACATTTATACATATTTTTATCTATTACATGCCTTTTATGAATATATATCGATTACTTATTCATTTGTTTGATTCCCCATATTTATGCATTTTTTTTTATTTGCGAGTCCAAAAACTCATTTAGAAAAGATGTTCAGAAACATTTTTAAGAATAACGCTTGGAGGATTGAAAAGACGCCATGTTATTTAGTTTACCAACATAAATTAAGAAATTAAATTATTTTTTCGTCACGTCAATTCAACTGAAACGATAAAATATAGCAGATCGAAAATATTTTCTTGGAATTTCAAAACAAACCAATTTTGCGTGCAAACGACTGCAGAAAAGTCAGAATATTTTCAATTAACAAGGAACTAACTTAAGTTTGCATTGAAGGCAATTTAAATCTAATACTTTTAAAATCAGGTTACTGCAATTTTAGAAACAAATGAATTGAGTTTGAGGAAAATTGTGCAACAGTATAAAATGATGATGGATGACCTACAGACTTAAATCTACGGAAATACACTGCACATTCTGAATACGTGCCCTGCTGCCAGACACGGTCTCGCCACGTCTCAGGACGCGCGAGTGCATCGAAGATTTCAGATGACAACCAGTATCGCAAATTATCGTTAATAACTCAATTCTAGGATCATTTATCGCCCACCTCAAAGAATATCGCTCATAGAAAAGTGTCCTTGAAATAAATTTTAAAACATTGATTTCATAGACGAGAAATTCACATAAGCCTGAATGGTGAGACCAAAAATATGAGCTGAATATAATTTTTCTATAATTCCAATCGCATTTCTATGCAAGAAATGAAATGAGTTATTTGATGCCAATTTGACAAATACTCCATGAGGCCAAAGAAAAAATAAATTTCATGTTGCTAGACACGTATTACATATCATTTAGTGAAGCCTTGACAGAGCAGTGCGTTGGGCGGTCTAGGCACAGAATTTGAAATTATATTTCCATTCCTTTCAAAAATTATATCATTATAATAATAATTTACTTCAATTAAAATTGTTATCGGAGCTACACTAAACTTCACTATTTATCGAACGCATAATAAGACGTCAAACAAGCAACACTATATTCTGGGTTTCGTTCCACTGCGTGCTTTTGTCATCAATTAAATTTTCAACTCAATTTTTCGTTCAAAAAGCAAAATTAAGAAGCCGAGCAAATTCAACAAGAACAACGCAAGCAAATGTTCCCGCAATTTATGGTGCCAAAAAATTTGATGGTAATTATGGAATAGAATTTATTCGTATCTTATAAAAAGGTGACTATAAAAAATGTGGTTTAGAAGCTCTCGACAATAATCAAACTAGTCAATTCAAAACTGGTAACTAAGATTTGTTATCACAAATGAAACAGCTGTGTGCAAAGAATTATAATCGCGGTGTTGAACAAATGCTCAGCAATGAAACTCAAAAAATTTGCTCCCTTTGAAAACTGGACTTTTTTATATCACGTAAACAAATTGTTGAGCAGTATGTGTACGTGCGAAATAAGCATGCCAGATATGAATGATCGAGAACATTGAAGCCCAAATTAGCAATGCTGAAAACAATTCTACACTGTGAAGTCGCCATTTAATGTCATTACTCATCAGGATCACAAAATTGGTCTTGAATTATTATTTAAATCTTGCATGCCAAGTACATGAAGTACAGAAAAAAACTCTACGGTAAATTATCTTCGTCTTTACCGCGTGATTTTGCAGGCATTTTACCCGTGTAAAACACAAATGTAAACACCAACATTGGAGCTCGATTCAAAAATATAAAGAACGAGATAAATCGACTAAAAGCGAACCGACTGAATCACCCATTGAAAAAAAAGTAATTAATCAAATCAAAATACAATGGATCTCAAAATTTTGTCTTTATATATCAATTATATAAATGTACGATGTTTTTGGATTCCTTTTGACATTTCAGGTTGAGAAAAACAGCTCATCAGATTATTTTTTTAACTATCACTTGAACCTAGTGTTCTAGGCTGTGGTAAATTTTTAACATCGATTTTCAAAAATATTTTGTACATACTTCGCTTTTTACTGGCTCACAAACATCGCTAAGCCAAATTTTTAGACAATATTTACACGTTATCATGCACACTTTTTCGCTCATTGCGCCAATGTTTTAATATAATAATAATTTATGTATAAAAAAAAATTATTTCAAATTATTAATTCAGGAACATTAGAATTCATGGAATGTATTCATGAACCATGATACTTATTTGCATGAACTACTCATTTGTCTTTATGAGGATCTTTGCAGCCATATCATACGTTTAAATTGCATATAATCTATTTTTTTTTTAATTCCAACTCTCAAATTTTCTCGTGCGCATTCCATGAAAGCGGTCATTGAGGTCGGCCGCTCGTATGGATTCAATTAAAACGCGAATTTTTTATTTTTTTTTTATCATCAACGCCTCATATTATTGTTCATCACACCCCTCTATTAATGAAAAAATATATAAATCTATTCCATGTCATGTTCCAAAAATCTATTTTCTCATCATTAACTCGCGAAAATAATCTATTTGATTTAATAATTTTTATCATTAAGTTTTTGATAAGAATTACTGTTTAGTTATTCATTAATATTATAATTAGTAAATATTACCATATTAGATAATATAATATAATAAACAATATAATTTAACATATAATGAAGACACAATCTAAAGACAAGTTGACATTGTTAACAGTTGTTCATAGGATTCGAAGGGGTCATTTTTTTATAAAGTTAATTCACAATCTAAACTATCACATATCACAATCACAAGCAAGCTACGTGTCATGCGTGTGACACGCATGACGCAGCAACGCAAGTTCAAGACGTCCGACGTCGCACGCCAAAACGTGGGAACGTCTTAGCAATAGCGGCCGCAGCGAGCGCCTAGCGTGCGTGCGCTCATACAAAACCAATTATACTTCAATAATTACTAGTATCATTATGTCATTGCGAGGTTATGGATAAAGGAGATTAAGAAGTTCAGAATTTCCATCGATCCTGTTATTTTTGAACACAGTAATTTTTATTTTTATTTTTTTTAAGAATTTATATCAGACTTACAATTAAGTTTAGGGTTGCAAGCGTTAATTTCCATCGATCCTGTTATTTTTGAATAAAGTATTTTTTTAATTATATCAACTTACAATTAAGTATAGTGTAGCAAGCGTTAATTTCCATCGATCCTGTTATTATTGAATGAAGTAATTTTCAGGAAAATTTATATCTGACTTACAATTAAGCATAGTGTAGCAAGCGTTAATTTATATAGATTCTGTTATTTTGGAATAAAGTAATTTTAAAAAATATATCTGACTTACAGTTAAGTATAGTGTAGCAAGCGTTAATTTATATCGATTCTGTTATTTTTGAATAAAGTAATTTTTCGAACAATGTTTATAAGCCTTACAAGTGGAGAGTAGCAAGCGTTAATAAATAGATTTTTTTCCCGCCGGGTTCTCAATTGATTCTAATAATTTTGTAGTAATCTGGTATTTGTTATTGAAATTCAAGGTATAATTTTTTCTTGGTTTATTATCGATTATTGTAGACGTCGATTATTACGTAAGCCGATTAGCACGGACGTCGATTATCACGGACGTCGATTATTATTATGCCTGTTGCAATCGTTGATGCGTAGAAACACCATTCCAAAACAATGATCCTACACAAATTTTTCAAAATGTGCTAACTACGACGCCTGAATACGAATTAAGAATGTGATGACATTCGTCTGATCGAATTATGCGTCGTATAAACGTTGAGAACGAAACGTCACCATAACGTAACGCATGCGTCGCGGTAGGCAGGAGACTACGGACGGACGACTCAAGCGACGTCGAGGACGTTAAACCGACGCATGTTACCTGTAAGGCGTGAGGTTCTCAAGACGAACGACGCATGTGACTCTGAGGACGTTAAACCGACGCATGTTACCTGTAAGGCGTGAGGTTCTCAAGATGAACGACGCATGTGACTCTGAGGACGTTAAACCGACGCATGTTACCTGTAAGGCGTGAGGTTCTCAAGATGAACGACGCATGTGACTCTGAGGACGTTAAACCGACGCATGTTACCTGTAAGGCGTGAGGTTCTCAAGATGAACGACGCATGTGACTCTGAGGACGTTAAACCGACGCATGTTACCTGTAAGGCGTGAGGTTCTCAAGATGAACGACGCATGTGACTCTGAGGACGTTAAACCGACGCATGTTACCTGTAAGGCGTGAGGTTCTCAAGATGAACGACGCATGTGACTCTGAGGACGTTAAACCGACGCATGTTACCTGTAAGGCGTGAGGTTCTCAAGATGAACGACGCATGTGACTCTGAGGACGTTAAACCGACGCATGTTACCTGTAAGGCGTGAGGTTCTCAAGATGAACGACGCATGTGACTCTGAGGACGTTAAACCGACGCATGTTACCTGTAAGGCGTGAGGTTCTCAAGATGAACGACGCATGTGACTCTGAGGACGTTAAACCGACGCATGTTACCTGTAAGGCGTGAGGTTCTCAAGATGAACGACGCATGTGACTCTGAGGACGTTAAACCGACGCATGTTACCTGTAAGGCGTGAGGTTCTCAAGATGAACGACGCATGTGACTCNGAAGACCTGCACCAGCAGCCACGCCACAGCCCAGCGTGTGAAGACCTGCACCAGCAGCCATGCCACAGCCCAGCGTGCGAAGACCTGCACCAGCAGCCACGCCACAGCCCAGCGTGTGAAGACCTGCACCAGCAGCCATGCCACAGCCAGGCGTGAGAACGCACCTGTTGTCTTCAAATTCTCTCGCCTCCGAACAACGAAGTGAGAATGAGAAGATCTTTCAGATTCTTGACGGTCATGTTCTGCAACCGCAGGTCAGCTTCTTCACTGTCACGGTCAATGATAACTGATTTAAATTGGCAATAATTTGTCGTTTGGGAATGGTCCATTAGTCTTAAAGAACATGTTGGCCAATCATGCAGTGTGATACGTTGGTGAGAAATAAAAAATTAATAGCACGTATTAGTAAAGTTAATATTTC